GAAATGCTGCTTGACCCTTCCCAGCTCCGCTCACTGACCCAGATTCGGGGGATTTTTACGGATTCGTGCCAAGAGTTGCCTTAAATCGCAGTAAAACGCTCTTTGCCATGGGCTGCTGGATCTAAGAGAGAGTAAAAAGGTCTTTTTTTTTTTTTTTTTTTTTTTCCCAGGGGTAACCTCACCCAGGCGGGGTCAGGGCTGGGCTGTGTGGGTAGAGGAACTGCACCAGGCTGATGAAATCAAAGTGAAGTGCAGGGACTTTCCCTTAGGAAAGGCTTTACCTTTCCCAAGCCAGACCTGGGTGAGAGGAGAGGTGATATGGGAAAAGAGAAAACATCTAGAAAGGGCTCTGATTTATGCTCTGAGTGAGGGGGAAAAAAAAAAATCAAAACTGGATCCTCTGCCACCCCTGTTGTGTGTGGGAAAACATCATCAGGAATCATAAAGAGTATTGGTTTTAGACTTGAAGGGAAAAAAAATGACTTTTCTCTGTTCTCTTCGTGTCGTTCCATAATTAGGAATTGGAGGAGAAAGATCCTATTGTTCATTTTAGGAACAGAGAGAACTGCTGACCCCTCTCTTTTGGAGGCTGCTCAATCACCCCTTTCTATTCTTGAATCTCTTATCTTTTCACATCAGACTTGCAGCACTTTTATGGTGAAGACTTTACAGTTTCCTCCTGTTGTTACAAACCGAGAGGGCGAGAGAGGGAAAAAATAAATCTCGGATTTGCCCAATCATCAAAAATCATGAAAAATTAATCCCAATTTCTCCAAGCCTAATTATTTGGCAGACACACCCAAGGGAAAGCTGTTACTCCAGCCTAACAACACATTAAAAGCACTTTAAATAATTAAAGAGGAGCATAGCTGGGGATTGTTTCCTGTATTTTGCAAAAATAAATGCAACCACTCACTGAACTTAGACTACGCAGAGCAGGGCTTGAGTCCTCTCTGTAGAACCTCCCTCTTCAAATATCCCCTTTTGCTGTTCTGATTCTTCCTCTCTGTTCTTTTTTTTTTCTAATCTGAGCTTCAAACAGGGTTTTTTTTTTTTTGTTCAAGGTTTGGGCTCCTTTTTCCTGGTCCAGTCACAGGAGCAAAGCAGCAGCAAAGAGCTCAGCGTCTCTCATCACAGGAACTATTAA